ACCCAAGGAAGTTACTAGGTTACAATCTAGGCCCTGCATATGTCAAGGAAGAAACATACAGACAACAGAAACGCCTGCGGCTTGGCTGAGGCCTACACAGGGCGGCTAGAACAGTGTCTTTTAGTTCTGCTTTTACTTTCTTGCCTCACCACAAGAGGGCAGCTTCCATGTCCAGGGTTCCACCCTGTCCTGAGAGCTCAGCTTTCCTGAGAGGGAAGGGTGCTTCAGCTTGGACGCACACTGCCGTCTCCTTCCAGTTCTGCCCAGTAGCGCCCTCCACTGCCAGTATTGCTTTACAAATCTCTCCTCCTTGTCCCCAGGCAACACGACTGAACTCTGTGGCGGCAGCACCTGTCTGCTGGTCCCCCATGTGCAATCCCGGATGGTGCCAGGGAGATGCATGCTGGTCCTGAGTTGCCCAGGGAGGGTTCATGCAGGCTTGATGTCCCCCCACTTCAGGGTGTGCCCTGCTCTGCTGGGATAGTCCCAGGGAGGGCCATCGGGCAGGGAGCACAGAATTTGAGCACCCCTTGGTCTGCTGCAGGTCTTTAAGAGCCCCCTCTATGTGGTAGCTTCAGTATGGTGGACAGGCCAACAGACAGGAAGCAGCCACTCCTGAGAGGCTTGGCTCAATTGTTCCTTGGGTCACCTGTGCCACTCAGCAGTAGTGGGTTGGGGGCAGGGAGAGAAGATAAAGAATCTGGAGGATAGCCAGGCGTTGTGGTGGGCGCCTGTAGCCTCAGCTACTTGGGGGGTGGGGGGGCGCTTTTTTTTTTTTTTTTTTGAGACAGAGCCTCAAGCTGTCCCCCTGGGCAGAGTGCCGTGGCATTACAGCTCACAGCAACCTCCAACTCCTGGGCTCAAGCGAGTCTCCTGCCTCCGCCTCCCAAGTAGCTGGGACCACAGGCGCCCGCCACAACGCCCGGCTGTTTTTTGGTTGCAGCCATCATTGTTGTTTGGCGGGTCCGGGCTGGGGATTCGAACCCGCCACCTTAGGTGTACGTGGCTGGCGCCTTAGCCGGTTGAGCTATAGGCGCCGAGCCGGGGGGCGCTTTTAAAGGCCAAGAGTTTGAGGTTGCTGTGAGATGTGACACTGCGGCACTCTAATGAGGGTGACAATGAGACTCTGTCTCAAAAAAAAAAAAAAAATCTGGAGGGAGAGCAAGTACTCAGGGTCATCTTTGTGCCTCTCCCCAGCAGGCAGCCCACCTGGAGTGTTCAAGCTCTGGGATCACACACAGCCCCAGGACCCACCAGCCCCTCGTGGCCCTTGCAATCTGGGAAGGAGTTGGGAAATGTTTGTGTGGGGACCCTGGCATGAAATCTGAAGCATGGAAGCTCCCCAGGGAGGATAAAAGGCACAGAATGGATGGAGAAGCCCTATGATGCCGGCCACCTCGGGTGGGGTCTGTGGCCACTGGGAGCGACCTCAAGGGACTGCCAGCCCTGTGCTTTGTTTTCAAGAAGCTCCGTGTTCACTGGTGGCAGCAGCTTAGTCTTGTGAGGGTAGGGAAACTCTGCAGCAGCGCGGGAGCCTGCTGACCACCAGAGGTGTGCAGGGAAGAGAATCAAAACCCATCTACCCTTCCCACGGACTCCAGGTTACTCGGGGCTGATCTCTGCTGAAATCTTGCTCCTCCTCTTCTGTTCTGTCATTTTACCCCATGTATTCTTTGGTAGGTTCTGGCACTTTTCTTCAAAATTACTCCTGAGCTATGTTTGCTTTTGTTTTTTTTTCCCCCCATCTGAAAGTTTTCCTTCTCTCTGAAACAATCTGGTGACCAAGTCAGCCATCTTGTCCCCCCTCTCTCCGATTTTCCATTCTTAACCATCATTTCTTTCTTGTTAGGTTTGCTAAAAAGCAATAAGTCATATAAAAATCCTCTGAAATATATGCACGTGAATATGTATACACACATATGTAATCACAGGTATAAGGATAAGTGCTGTACATTCAGATCCACTGGCCTTACTTTGCTCGGCATTCTTACTCTCCATTGGTCTAATGGTCCAAAATCTGGAAAACCTGAGCACAATTGCTTCCTCATTTTTTTCTCTCTCTTCTTTTCCCTCTCTTGTCCCATCCCTCCATCCTTTCTCTTTTTGCAAAAATATTTTACTAGAATACCTTTCAAATAGAAAACGTACATGTATAATAGGTTTAACGTACATAATTTTCATAAATAAATGTTTAGACGTCATGTCCCTTAAGGTAGAACAACGTTAAGTCAGTGTCTCCCCAAGGAGATAAATGTGTTCTTCTGTGTCAGCATTGGATGCTTTCTGGCTTCCATACAAGAATCAATAAGTAATGATTTTTCTTGTTTGATCTGTCTTTCTCCCAAAGAAGCTATTCTGTGATTTTTTATAAATATAATCCTTATCTATGTTTACCAAATATCACTGGGACTCTAGGCTTTGATCAGCTTTTAAAATAAGGACAGTTCTAGTATATTGGCATATTTGGCAAACCAGGTAAGTACAGACATTGTTCAGAAGAATTTTCTAAATGGGGCAGCACTGGTCAGCATTTGGTACATGAAAAGGCTATATACCTATTGTTTTGCTTGAAATGTAGTTGTACAGAGATTATTTTGCACAAAAAGGCCTTATCAAGACCAGAAAAGTTTTCTTTAAAAAAATGTTCAGACTGCAGTTCCTAACACTACTGGATTTTGATGTTATATTGAAGTAAATTATACTTGAAGCTCCAGACTATGTGGACCACACAGCCTGATTCAAGTTTCTGTGACCCAAATCCTAGTACATATTTCTGGCTAGACACCATGGCTCACCCCTATAATCCTAGCACTCTTGGAAGCTGAGGTGGGTGGATTGCTTGAGCTCAGAAGTTCCAGACTAGCCTGAGCAAGACCCCATCTCTACTAAAAATAGAAACATTAACTGGGAGTGGTGGTGGTCACCTATAGTCCCAGCTCCTTGGGAAGCTGAGGCGAGAGAATCACTTAAGCCCAAGAGTTGGAGGTTGCTGTGAGCTATGATGATGCCATGGTGCTCTACCCAGGATACAGAGTGAGACTGTCTCCAAAAAAAAAAAAAAAATCTTAGTACTTGTTTCGCTTAAGAGCTAGCATATCAACATTCTCAGATTTAGTATAACGATCTACAGAAAAGTAGTTTCAACCTTTTGTCCCAAATCTTTCATTGAACTGAGTTTCTCTCTCAGATTCTTGATCAACAATGCTCCAGTTAAATTACATTGGGAATAACTGGCTTCTCACTAAATCATTCACGAACTAAACAAGTTTCAAAGGTAAAGAAACAGAATACTTTATTATAAAACTTATAAAATAATTAAATATTACACATATATTTTGACTTTTCTCTATAATCCATGGTTTTATTCAACGTTTTTCCTCAAAATATCACTGACTCCAGGAGGCAAGTGAGAACACATAATAGGCTATTAATAAATTAATTTTCCATAAAATAATGATAATTATATAAAGAAACAACTTGCTGTTTTGCAGAGGGCAAGGGTATGGAACCATTTTGGGTTTTTTTTTTATTATTCCTGATGATAAAGTGAAAGCAGTTCCTCCTCCTTATTGCTGAGTATGTCCCAGAACTCATGATTTTAATTACCAGGAGAACAAAGGATGCTTCTAAATTTAACAAACCACTGTCTAGCTGGTTCTGCTGAGCTGGTTAGTCCAGCTTGAATGGAGACTCTTTTAAGTAAAACTGGGTTACATTCAGCAAAAAAAGTTGAGGAATAGAGAATTATTATATAAATATGCCCTTGATAACCACTTCTCCAAAAATTACAGGAGGACACAGTCGCATAAATGACTTTGGTTTTGGCAAAACAGCCTGGTGTTTTTTCAATTCTGAACAACTTTATGCTTGGTAATGCTTCCCAGCAGCTGGCTTCTGATAACTGAAAATATTCTTTGAAAGACTATAAAACACTTACTCGGTGAAGAGTCCTGGTCTACCATGGTTTGTTAACATCAATGGTGCAAGAGGACAAGGGGATTCTTCTCTGGGTACCTGAATCCCAGGGCAAATTTAAACATGTCAGGTGGTAGGAAAAAGCCACAAGGGGTCTTTAATTTTGCCAAGCAGCTCTGATACCATGGATGGACCACTTTTATAAATGATGACCTCCTAGCTTTATTTTTTCCACCAGAAATAAACATTTTGCCCATTCTCATTCCCCAAGAGCAGGCTCTGGCCCTCCCAGGCGTGGACTGGTTCAGCAAGCACCAAAAGTTACAAGGTTGATGAGAAAAGGGCCCCAATATTTGACGTGAGTTTTTTGGGGTCTTGAACATGAATGGCAGTCCCATGGAGATCTTAAATGGTCTCTGTTGCCCTACAGTCACAATATTCCTTGGAATACTTTTCAAGTTGTTCATCTCAGTCTTGAAGACTCTAGAAGCAGAATATACTTTAAACAAAATAAGAAACACACACACACACTAAAGAAACAGGACGTGAAGCTTGCTAGTCCAGCAGCAAGCTTAGCTGTGAGCACCATATGATCTTTCCGGGTTGGGTGTTCACCCACCTGTGAAGTCCATGCCACACTTGGGCAAGGTGTGCCAGCCACATCTGACCGCTCCAGGTCACTCTCTGACCTGAAGTCTTCAAGGACCATGCTTCAACCAGATGTCTTTGCTTTGAGGTTCAAAACCACACAGTTGAGGTGATGCTCGCTTGGCCAAAACCAAAATTAGACCGAGCTCAGCGTGATCCACCACTTCTTTCGTGTGACAGTGCAAACCAAAGATTTTTGTTTTTCAAAGTCAGATTTGTCCTCGCTTCCTCGTTTCAAGTGCTTCAAGGTACCATGTGCTTCAGCGAAATGAAATAGGTGCCTGGTGACAAGCTGTGTCCTCAGAGCTGGGCTCCTTGACATGGCTGTGGCTCCCAAGGGATTTGGGGAGCTCAGCTTCTGCATTCAAAGGTGGCTGGTTGCTGCAGAGGCAGAAAGGCAAGGCCCTGGCTCCGGGGTGTGGAGGGGAACGTGGAGGTCAGCTCTTCCTTGTGCACGCCCTGCAGCACTGTTTACCGTAAAATTTGTGGTTGCAGACACCATGCTGAGGAACGAGGTGACACCAGGCAAAGAGATCTACGCAGGAGGGATCTTCTAAAATAAGAAAACACAACCAGCACGTTAGCTACAGCTGTCAGCCTTCCTGTTAAGGTGAGAAGACAGACATTGGGCCCAGCTACCCTGTGGGCCTCCATGAGGTCTTTGAGACCCCAAAGGTCATTAAGGACTTTGGGTGGGGAGTAAGGCGGGGACAGGATTAAGATAACCTGAAGGGACTGCAACCATTTAATGGAGGTTTGTGGGGAAAAAAGTCTTCTCTAGTCCATGATCAATGTTTGATTCTCCCTACATGGCTCGGGAGACACCACTGTTTCTGAATCAGAGGGTCTGGGACCCCATCTTCTGATTCAGCTGGGGGAGGGGCCTAATGGGTCCCCAGGGCTGTTGATGGTGCTCGTCCATGAATGATATTTGGGGGATTGCGAGGCCTAATACTATTGAGAGTCAAGACACCCGAATTTGAGACCTGCTTCCAATGTTCTTCAGAGGCCTAAATCAATCTCACAGCCAGGTTGCAGAAGGATGAAGGTAAGACCACACCAACCTTTTCTACTGACCATGTCTTTGGTTGCTAGTCAAGAGGATAGATGGGGTAAATAACCACAGGACCAGCAGGACCCTGGACATCAGCAATTGGTTTTTTCTTTCTCCTGTGCAAGCTTTAAGCTGCCTCTAGCTTTGATTCCACCACCCGCCTTGTCCCTCCAGGCACCCAATCATGGTCCCTTGCTAATTTCACGCTGCCTTTCCATTGTGCCTTTGGACGTGGCAGGCAAGACCCTCAGCTCTCCTGCTGCTCCACCTTTCTTCCCCAAGCCTTGAGTCTTTTGCCGAACTCCCTTTCCCCCCTTCCAACAGTAGCCTTTGTGCTCCTTTTAGAACATTAGCTAGTTCGTGTCACACTTCTGTCCCAAACCCTCGCCACCCATGTATCCCACTGGAGTCACTGGCACCGTCATTACCACAGATGACCAGGCCAGTACAGGGTCCGCAGAAGTGCGTTGTGTCCCTGTGCTATCAGTATGAGCACTCTGCTGGATCCTCATGATGATGACTAACAGCTCGGTACTCTGGCCGCCTGCTGTGAGTTAGACACTTGATTGATGCTGCTAAAAATGACTCGGTGTGTCCTAGGAGTCCTCCATGGAAATACTCAACAGATATCACTGGCTCAGTCCAAATCCACCCAGCACCCAACCTTTTCTTACTCCCACCACTGTCCTCAGCCGTCTGCTGACAAAGAGTCCACAAGTCCCCGTTCTGTTCCCGGCATCTGAGACTCTCACCCGGGTAACTGCCAGGGTAGCCTTGCAAGCCAGAACCTCCTGCCCCTACTCAGTCAGGGTCAAACCTGGAGTCCTTACACTGAGGGAGAAGGGCCCACTTTCAGGTTGTCTAACCCACTCTTGACCTTGTGAGGTATAATTCAAGCACTCTTCTAGGACCACTGTCCTAGGAGCCCATGTGCCTCATCTTCCCCCCTTTCCTTATGTAACTATTACATCCGTGGGTGGCCTGACCTTTCTATCTAAACTGGTTTTCCTTCCGCCTCCACTTGACCTCCAATCATCCTTTCTGTACATCCTGCTTTAATGTAACTTCCTGCTCCCTTATCATCTGACACTCTATAGGATTGGTTGGTTTGTCAATCTAGGAACAAAGTTTGCCAGAATTTTGTACCTTTCTCTATCTGTAGTCAGACATGAGAATGATTCCTGCTTCACAGTAAGTACTAAGTGTTAAAAAAGAACTCAGAAGGTTAAAAACTTGCCCAAAGCTCCTTCACTAGCGTCAGAGCCCTTACTCCTTCCATCACACGAAGCTGCCCATCTAAAGACATGCCTGGTCTTAATTCCACTTGTCTGTAGCTCAGGCATCTTCCAGGACAGTGGTCCTCAACCTTCCTAATGCTGTGGCCCTTTATTACAGTTCCTGTAGGTCACAACCCACAGGTTGAGAACCCCTGTTCCAGGACAAGTCTCTGGGTGGCATCACTACCTCGGGCCTTTGATAATATACTCATAGTTCAAAGCCACAGGGATTGTTTCCCAAGCTAGAGATCAGAGAGGGCATCTAACAGTACTTGTCGTATAGGGTGAACGCCCGGGGCCAGGAGGGCCTGGAGGAACGTGGACCTGCCTGGCTGTCCTAGGAGACAGGATGACACCAGCCTGGGCAGAATCAGCTTGTTGGAGTGACTGCAATGGCTGCAAACTTCCACCCAAAGGTAAGATCCTTGAGGGGAGGGCTGGATCCCTGATACACCCACAGTACCTAGCAGAGGGCCTTGCCCAAAAAGGGAGTCTCAGAGACAAGTCCAAGAATTGAATCCTCCTTCTTGTGTCACCAAGGGGGTGTTCACTACTCACAGCCAGAAGAGACACTCAAAGGACTTTCTAGGGGTCACTCTGTACAGTGGCACAGGAGGAGGACTCACAGGGCAGTCGTTTCGGCATGCCATTGCCCCGCCAAAGAGAGACCTTAGAAAGTCAGGAAGCCTGGTCTTTTAAGAGCCTTTCTTTGTATGCTCCTGTGAGTCCCCCTCATTTGTATAAATGACACTGCCAACACACTTAGTCTTCCTCCTCTGGGACACTGTTCTATTCTTTAGCCCCAGAAGAAGGCCTGGTGCTTAAGGCTTTGCATGCAGGGCACTTTGCTACATTCATACAGCACAGATTGAGCACCTGCTGTGTGCCAGGTGTGGTATTGGATGCTAGATGAACAAGAAATAAGACTGATGTTGTCTTGGCCCTCACTGCAGCTGGGCTCTCCTCCCGCCTGCCAGCAGGTTACTGCTGAGCAGTTTTCACAGGGGGCCATTGTCCTTCCCGAGGAGCCTGCACTTTGTGGCCATCTGACTAAAATGATGGTGAAGAAAGGAGGAACTGGACAAACCGACCCCCTTGCTTAAAAAGGTATGTTTCTTCACTAGGGAGCATTCCAGAAAGGACCTGAGATCATCTGGCTCTGAGCAATTGCTACAAATACTGTGCAAGTCTCAGATAAGGTAGGAAAAGGCAGAGAAGGAAAACAGATGACCAAGCCTAGAGCTAAGGCTGTCAGAAGTAGCTACACAGCGGGGTGAAGTGGTCTGCACCTGTAATCCTAGTGCTCTGGGAGGCCGAGGGGGGTGAATTGCTTGAGCTCGGGAGTTTGAGACCAGCCTGAGCTGGTGAGACATAGAAAAACTAGCCGGGCATCTGTAATCCCAGCTCTTCAAGAGGATCACTTGAACCCAAGAGTTTGAGGGTGCCGTGAGCTCTGATGCCATGGCACTGTACCCAGGATGACGGGGGAAAAAAGTAGATACTCTTTGCCTATCCCTATCCCTTTCCATTCCAAAGTTACAGTGTAACAGTCTTGAAAACCCTGCTACAAAATGAGCACAAGGAAATTGGGTTAGGCTGGAAAATATTTCCTGGTGTTGATCAGATTACTTTAAAATCAGCTGGACTAGTACACGTGCTAGAGCTCACACAGTGGTTACATTTTCACTTGTTTGTTCACTAAGCATTTATCTTGAGACACAGTCTCACTCTGTCACCGGGAGTAGAGTGCTATGGCCTCATCACTCACAACAACCTCAAACTCTTGAGCTCAAGTAATCCTGCTGCCTCAGCCTCCCTCCTGAGTAGCTGGGACTACAGGTGCCCACCACCATGCCCAGCTAGTTTTTCTATTTTTAGTGGAGACAGGGTCTCACTCTTGCTCTGGCTGGTTTCACACTCCTGAGCCCCGGTGCTCCACTGGCCTCCCAGAGTGGTGGGATTACAGGCGTGAGCCACGAGAGCTGGCCCAGTATTTAAAAGCTGGCAAACAGGGGCATTTTGGTGCACAATGCCCCTACAGTTGTGTGTGCCGTGGAGCCAAATAAAGTGGGCTTTTGGAAAATTCCCTGTACATAGTCAAATTGACTAGAGCATAATGCCCCTTACCTCTCTTTTCAGGAGCTGGACAAAAGTTTGTATTACAAGCTCGCAGCACTGGGGGTTTCTGACGGAGCGGACACGTGGAGGAAGGCCGGCCTTGTAGAACACAGTGGACAGAGCGTGTCTGGACCCCTCCCCCGCAGGTGACGGTGCACTGCGGAGGGGGGGGAAAGGAGAAGTCAGACCAGGCAGCTGCACGGCCTCCTTGCTGAGGTCAGCACCGTCACCACGATGCCTGCTGCTGACATGCAGAGTGGCCAGAGCCAGCCACAGGACCTCAGTGTCCTCAGGGTCTCTGATAACCAGGGTGAGCCCTTCATCTGGCACATGTCTCCCCAGCTAAGTGACTCATAAGAAACAGAGGTTACAGAGACGCAGAAGCAAATACAGGCATATGTAGGGGATGCATCCCAGTGTTTAAACAATTGCACATGACCTCTGCAGATGCAAAATAGTGCAGCAGATAGTCCAGAATTAGGATAGAAAAGGCCCTGACCATCTGAGGCAGCTCTGGAACTAGAGCCTCAGGGCCCAAAGTCTGACTTGGTGTGGTGGATTTGGAGCTTCTTAAAAGTCAGTGGTTTCATTGTCCAATCAAAATTTCTAAAAAAAGAGGCAACTAATAAGAATTGTCAACTTAATTTTTTCCAGATCCGCATATGAAAAGTTAATATAGTTTGTAACAAAACAGAAATATTATCAGGGAAAAAGGCAGCTCTTGAAATGGGTTTTTCTCTTGTTGCTGTTTTGCTTTAAATTTTCTGCAAATTTTATTGCACAGAGCTGAAGGCTTTTTCTCCCCAGTATGGGGCCTGCTCTTTGGGAAGGAAAAATAAGAGGGGGCGGAAAACAGCTGTATGGTGTCATCAAACCACATTTTCTATAAAGTACAAGATAGGAAGGGCCATGGCACAGCTCTGGGCTCCTGAGGACATCTTGTTCTTTCAGACCTTGCATGACACTCCAGTCCTAGCCCCTAAGAACCAAGCTGGGATGACCAGAGCTTCCTCCAAGTCTTTTTTACAAGGGCCCTCTCTCTGATGAGCTTCAAAGCTGGTGTCTTTAGCTGCATTTCTTAAGAATCAAAGTAAGGCACTTAGCCTAGGGCCTGGTAGGGGCTTGAAAAATGCTTGCTATTATTATTCAGAAACATAAGAACCCAGAGTACAGCCTGTGAGCAGCATTTCTAAACAGAAGCCCACAGGGATGACTTTAGTAACAGCACCAACCTTAGCAGGACGTGACAGGCCTGGGGCTAAGTGTTTTATAGTATCTCATTCAGAGAAACAAAGCAACAGGGCAGATACTAATTTTCTAGGTGTCCCAGATGACTACAGACCTGTAACTGGCCCATAGGACATGCTGCTTTTAGGCCTTGAGCCCTTAGTCCTTCATTCTGGACAGCCATTGGTGGACGCAAAGCACCCAGGTGTGCAATGCCTCCTTTTCTGAATGGAGGAGCCTACCTGTTGCCATGGCGCTGAATACCATCCCCCGGCTGTGTTGTACACTGGACCAGCTGGACAAGCCCTTTGGTTGCAGGTTTCTTCCAAGGCCAGGTTTGGTTTCTTAATGTTGCGGCATCTTCGCTCCGGAAACGTGATCAGCTTTCCCTGGAAGGCCTTCTCGCTGCACTTCATCTCCCTCTTCCGCACACCCACCCCACAGGTCGCAGAACACTAGGGCCAAGAAGGGACACGGTAAGCGGGCAGGGCTCGTTTTGACACAGAGGGCACCACACAGGCGAAGTTAGAGGGGTGGGATAACAGGAGGTCAACGGCACACCCGAGGAACTCCAGGTAAGGCAACCAAAGGTCAGAGAATTAGGATGACTTTCCCAAAGTCACAGAGCTCATTAGCACCAGAAAGGAAAGTATGGCCCACAGATGAGATCAAGGGGCCATTGGGATCCCTAGGTTTGGGGTTAGACAGCGGTGGGTCCAGGGGGACCTGAGGCCTCTCTGGAGAGGTGGGAATATGGACCACGGAGGGAGGGCCCGGAGAAAAAGCTGAAGAGACAGCTGAGTGGGAGAACCCCTGTACAGGAGGTAATATGCCCTGATGTTTACCCTTGGCTGAGGAAGAGGCTAATGCAGTGTTAAGGGACGGGAGGGAGAAGGAATAAGAACATGTTCTTAAAACAGTTTCAGACAGAGCCGGGCGCCGTGGCTCACACCTATAATCCTAGCGCTCTGGGAGGCCAAGGCAGGTGGATCACCTGAGCTCAGGAGTTTGAGACCAGCCTGAGCAAGAGTGAGACCCCCAGCTCTAAAATAGAACAGTCCTATAGTCCCAGCTCCTTGGGAGCTAAGGCAAGAGGATCACTTGAACTCAGGCACTTGAGGTTGCTGTGAACTAGGCTGATACCACTGCACTCTATTCTGGATGACAGAATGAAACGCTGTCTCCTCCTTCCCCCCCACTCCCCCAAACAAAAAGGTTTAAACAGTATTATGGGGTACCATACGGGGCCTTGGTAAAGTGAATAAACCAGTCAGCTGGGATCAGTGTGTAAATATACACAACACAGGAGGCCGCTGAGCTTCCCACTCACTAGTCTGTGGGGTGGGTGCACTTGTTAACTCATTGTAAGGATGAGGAAACCAAGGGTGAGCTGTCACTGGCTAGGGCAAAGTCCCCCTGTACTGAAGAGCCCCAGTGTTTACCCATCAGGTTATACTGTCTCTTAAAACAGGTGTGAAGAGGAGTGATGGACAAACTGCGGTACTGTCCGCAGGCTGATATGCACCTGCTTGTCAGCACATGCTCAGTCACCTAGAACAAAGGGGCGGGCCTGAAATAGAGCTACTGACTGGGTTGCTTCCTCCGTGTTGGTGTCTGTCTCGTTACCAGTCTGTAAATACCCTAGGTGCAGAAACTTCCCTCAGCACCATTGTACCCTGGGGGCTTAACTGCTGTTCTTATGTTTTCTAGGTCTGTGAAGTCAAGCTGGTTTCCCAATCCAGGAATCTCGGCAGCATCTCCACATCCTCCTCCTCTCTACCCGCAGGGACGTCTGAAGGTATCCAGTGTCGTCTGTGGGAACTCAGTATCTCCTCCCTCCCCAAAACCCTTTCATCTCTGTCTTCATTACTGTAAGATCCACACCTCAGGGCCTTCCCTGCTTCTAAACTTTTTTCCATCAGTTCCCCTATCTCTAAAATGAAAACAGGATGTTCTATTTCTTTAAACTGTCAATGGATTCATAGGCTCTATCTCTAACTTACCGCCCAAGGCCCTCATGCTCTGGTCTCCCTCCACCCAAGTCCCATCCTCGCTGAGGGCAGGATCTTCTGTCATGTAAAGTACACCCTCTCCCCGACTCCTGCTCATCCATTTTTCCTAAAGTCTGGCTGGGGTGAACGTTGAGGTTTCCCACAGAAGTACAGACTTCCCCTGCCGGACTCCCTATGCTTTATGAAGTTGTGTGACCTGTGTATTATCAATGTTTGGTGATTCTCACCTCCTCAGTTCTTCATCCAACAATGGGCACTTTGTATAGACGTGATCTGTGTGTGGCAGCTTTGTGAGTCTGAATGCTAATAGGTGACCTGAGCATTTAAAAAAAAAACCAAACAAAACCCTCCAGCAATGCAGCCACATCTAAGCACCAACCTCGCTCCAGGAAGAGGTGACCCACTGCAGCCGGTTGTTTTTTGGGCACCGTCCCAGCACGCACCCTTCCTGCGTCTCGGGTCTGGGGAGGCCGGCACACAGGCTCTCGGGCAGGGTCTCTGCGGCAGAGCTTTTGCAGGACAGGCCTCGCTTCCTCACTCCTCGTCCACAGGTCTTGGAGCACTGCAGAAACAGAGCCCAAGGTCATTTGCACGTGGGCTTTAGATGATTTTCTTGGGGGTGAATGCTGAGGACACATTCATACAATGTTTGCAAATTGATGTTTAAACATTTGAACAAAATTCCCAGTAAAGTCCCTTGCAGCATGAGAAATCCCCCCAAGGCCCAGGAACGATTATCATGTTGCCATGATTAGCCTTCACCTCCTGACTGTCCAGCGGCTGCTGTGACATGTTCATGATGAGGCATGGGCACTTTCCAGATTGTCACCACTGTCGAACGTGGTCTGCTCACTGGTGAGACTGTGTTTCTCTCTGGCACAGGACAGAGTGGACACAAGCAACTAGCTAAAGAGGATTTCTACGGTCTCCAACAAGGAGAATAGCAGCAGAAATCTGTATGTATAGAATTCATAGAAGCACAAAGCAATTAACAGGCTTGGAGGGGATTTAGTTCTTAGCCCCAGCACCTGCTACTGTGGGCTGGACATGACACTACTGGGGAGAGTGCTCAAGTGTTGGGAATAAGTTTGCATCAATACAAATGTTCAGGCCGGCAACTTTCTTTCTCTCTCTGAGAAACAGAAGGCAGGATGCCATCTTCTCACTTTCAGAGAAATACTTAAGTTTGCCAAGATCACTTAAAAGATCTGGGCTTCAGGCTGGGGTTTGACCTGGAGGGAGGTATCACTATCTCTGCCATGAAAGACCTTATGCAATGTGGCCCCTCGTGCCTGGGCTCCTCGGCACTAGGCAACCAACTGGTGCACTGTTCCAGGCCTGTTCAGAGGAGCCATGAGAGTTCTCATTCTTGAGATGGGAACAGAGAGAGGCAATGATATGAATTAGCAAACCATGGCAGCAGAGAACACTGAATGCCTTCCACATGGGGACACATTTTAGCCTGGGTACCAGTGCCTCTACCACACAGCTTTCTAACAAGCGCGAGATAATTGCTGTTATCCTTTTTATAAAAGGCGCAACTGAGAGTCACGTTGAGCAAGATCAGTCACATAGCTGGTAAGTAGCGGGGGTGAGCACACGTGTTTATCTGATGCCAGACCATGGACATGAATGTAGCCTTAATCACTCACCAAGTTTCTACATGGTTAATTCTTATGCACTACAATATTTTTTTCACAATGGTACAACTTTAAACTTGATTCCCAAAGGGTCTTTGGACACATGGTTGCTAATGGAAGAACAGGTTACAATACCAAGTTCCAAAGGACTCTTTTCATGTTATTCATTCTTTTCTTTCTTTCTTTTTTCCTTTTTGGGACAGTGTCTCACCCTTTTGCTCTGGGTAGAGTGCAGTTGCATCATAGCTCACAGCAACCTCCAACTCTTGGGCTCAAGTGATCCTCTTGCCTCAACCTCCTGAGTAGCTGAGAGTACAGGTACCTGCCAGAACAGCTGGCTAATTTTTTCTATTTTTAGTAGAGACAGGGTCTCAGTCTTGCCCAGGCTGGTGTTGAACCTCTGAGGTCAAGCAATCCTCCCACCTGGGCCTCCCAGAGTGCTAGGATTACAAGGCTGAGCCACTGCTCCCAGGCTATGAATCAGTTCTCAAAAGGACACATTTGGTTTTAGTAAAAAAGAAAATACTCAAATAGTTTCATGGGAAATTTGGGACAGACACCATAACCTTCAGCCCTTTTCATGAGGCCCATTTCCCACTCCTAATCCTTCACCTTTATCCACACCCACCACACCTTATGGGTCAAACAACTCTTTAACTCTCTGATTGTAATGGAAGCAACCAGACTCTGCCATCCTAGACTAATTAGATTTGCCCTGGGCTATCAATGAATACGTCCTCTCATTTGAAAGTCCCCTAAGCAAGCCCAGATCCATTCTTTCTTCCTCCTAGCCCCTTATTTCCTTAACACAACAAAAGCCCTAATCTTAACACAACAAAAGCTCATTCTGACCTTTCCTAAGGACTTAGTTTCTCATTCAGTTCAGCAACTACTACTAATACTCGGTAGGATATAAAATACCATAGGGGAAAGCGCGGCAGAAATGAGAGCAGTGGCTGCCACGGGGCTTTATAGCTCCGTGATGAAACTCCTGCGATTTTGTTCCTTCTCTATATTTGTTAGCCATCCCTGGGGCTCCCATCGGCTAGGGGATGCTGCTGGGGGGCAGTTTTTCACCTTCAGCACCTTCTAGATCAAATAATTCTCTGGTGTGGGAACCTTCCCATGTTGTGAAGGACATTCACCTCTTATCTACTAAAGGCCAGGAGCACCCATCTCTGTGACAATCAAAACTGTCCCCAGAAGGCAAACACCTCCCCCAATGGAGACCTTTGCTTTAAAGGAAGTTCTGAAAGCAAGCTGAGAAGGAAAGGTAGTTCTATCCCTCTTCCAACTTTAAAATTTCATGATTTTCACTGAGACATTCGCAGATTAATGCCCAACTCCTGTCTGCCTGTATTCTCTCCCTTCAACAGGAAAGAGGTGAAGGTCCAGTTTCTATGCCTCAGTCTTTGTCTTTTCCTCTTGCTCTGGAGAATTCAGTTGCCTGATCTCTATGCCAACCCCCTCTAGCTGGGCTCACTAGTGTAACCTAACCAGCCCCACACTCCGATTTCTGGACCTTGTAAGGAGGGTGCTGAGCTCTGAAACAGGAGTTCCCAGACTTTAGGTTTCATAAGAATCACCAAAAGCATTAGGTACAATGCAGATTCCTAGGCACAACCACATTAACTCAGGTGAGAGCCTCTCAGGGAGCAAAGGACACCTGCAAGTCCACCACCTACACCTTCCATGGGGAATGAGACCGGTGGAATTAAGTCTCTCCCAGTTACCTGAGACCAGGGCCCGAGGCTCCATTCTGGAGGGCAGGGGTGGCTGTTGCAACCTTGAACCTGAGTGGGCGTGCTCACTGGGCAGAGGGAATGCACCACCGCTTCCTCCTTCTGGAAGGGTCTCTTTTGCACACACTGGATCTTCCGGCTCTGCTGGCCCCCGGCGCAGGACTTGCTACACACGCTCCATTCGCCCGGCATCCAACTTTGGAGGGAAAAACAAAATGACTTCCAATGAAACTGAGGCCTCTTATCATCACTTCCAAAGCAGTTACTGTGAAAGATTAACCACCTGATGAAAGCCTTAGGTCAATTTTAGAACCAGTAAGGACGATTTGTACTCATTCTTTGACAGATGTTGAGACCCACACAAATGTGGCCCAGATATAAAGAATTGCATTTAACCACCACATGGATCTAGGGAAAAATATTTTCCTGCCTGTGCATGGGAAGAAACACATGCCATTTTAATATCTGCACGAGTCATTCAGCCCACGTGCAGCTCTTCCACTGGGCTGTGGGTTCACTGACAGCAGGGACCACATGCGATTCCTCTTCCTGCCCCAGATCTCAGCTCAGGACCTGCTATACAGTTAAGGGCTTAGAACGTGGTTGTCACACGAGAAAGTAATAGATTGATCTCAGATAAAATTCCTTTGTCCTTGTATCTCTAAGACTCTTTAAACCTTTCTAGTATCTCTCCGGGGAAAAATTTTTGAAAGGCTCCATTATTCCAGCCAAAAATACTGAGGAAATAATAATAGGGTGGGAGAAAACAGGAAGGGAGCAGAATATCTTGCCCCTGTCACCATCCCCCGCTCTGCAGGACCATTGCAAGGGGCCAGTCTGCTCATAAATAGCCAGTAAATCTGCTGCTGCACAGACAGCATCGTAGCATGGAGTCATGAGAGAGTTGAGGACCTTGGTGCCCTCCCCTGTCATGGAGGTGAACGTGAATGGCAGGACAGAGGCTCAAAATATCAACTTGGCCCTCGACTATACTGACTCCCCCTGTGTGTCTGTGAACACACCAGCACCACAAGAAAAAGAGATTACACCGCAAGGGTCGGCAACACTGATCATCACCGTGGAGCCACTTTCTCAACAAAAGAGGAACATCCATGGAAGTCCCCCCTCCCCCCAGATTTCTTTCCCTTCCTACATCTATGATACGTCTGGTTTCAGAGCCTGAGAGAAAAACTAGGTTGACAAATGGGCGTTAGATCCGTGGAGAGCTGAAACCCCAAATGATGATGACAGATCCACTGTTATTTAAAGAAAAAAAAAACACGTATGTATCTATATAAAAAGAGGGTATAATATGATTGTTTCCCCACAAACCAAACAGTGCTTATTAAGAGGTTCTAAAACACTGGTGAACACAACCCTGCTTTAGAAGAAACCCTGTATACTCTGGATAAATATATTTGGCAGAAGATAAATCACCTAAAAAGCAGCTCCATTTGGCTGGGAAGATTACTGAAAATTAGTGTTGGAATAATCGTGTGGGGAAAATAAACCCAAGAACAAATGCGCGGAGCTCCCCCATGGGCACCATGGTCAGATGGAGCCTCCACAGGGCCTGTATCTCTTGCGGTGTCTGCTACTGTGTAATTTCCATTTGGGGTTTCATGGTCTGCATAGTATTATGATCTGTAAGTTCTTGGATGACTTATACAAAAGTTAGGCACACAACCACATGCAAACTTAACTACCATAGGATTCCGTGCTGTTTAAATATCTGTTTGATTCAGCTCAGAGAAGAGGAATCTTGAGGCAACATGTCTTTTAAAGAAAGACACCTTCGTAGCCCAAGGTCAGGTTAGTATAGCCAAAGTCAAATGAGGGTTTAAAGCAAATTTTTGTTTTTCAAGTCATATTTCAAGCTCAACGATCTTGTTGTTATTCTTTTTTTTTTTTTTCAGGCATTGAGTCTGAAGGTTTGCATCTCTTTCAGTTAGAAATACTAAAAGTGAGCTGTCCAAGTGCCCAATGACCCATGAATGAGTAAACAAATTGTGGTGTATGTACACCATGGAATACTATGCAGCCATCAAAAACATGGAGACTTCACATCTTTTATGTTTACCTGGATGGAGCTGGAACATATCTTCTTAGTAAAGTATCTCAAGAATGGAATAAAAAGTATCCAATGTACTCAATACTACTATGAAATCAATATATAACCATCTACACACTCATAGGAATGGCAAAACGTAATACAGTCCAGAAAGTAGAAGGGAAGAGGAGAAAGAGGGGAGGGGAGGGGGGATATGGGAGGAGGGAGGATATTTAGGGGGGACCTCACCTAATGCACATGATGCAATGGGACATTTCAAAACTATTAAGAAATGAGTATAATTGTGATGGATGTGTTACTTAGTTCAATGTAAACATTTCACATTGTATATTGAAATTGTATCCTGAACCCCATAAATGCATCAATATACAAAGTTATGATTTAATAAAAATAATTAAAAATAAATAAATAATAAATAAATAAAGTAAAAAAAAAAGTGGGCTGTCATTATCTCCTAACAGCAATAAAGGCATTACAAGTGCAAACATAAGCAGAATCACATTTCCAGATGACTTACTAGGCTGGGCAGGAGAAAGCATTGCATATCTTGGGTTCCGTGGCTGGCTTGGTTCTTGCATTGCAGAACGAGGAATTGACTTGAGTATTTTGATCTCGTAAGCAAATGGCCTTTACACTTATGTAACCTGATAAGACATCAGAAGTTACAAAGTGAAAACTACAGGTAACTATTTCAATTTTGGCTTCCAAGATTAGCTTCTGATTTATCAACATTAGGGTATTTTAACAAACAAAATCCAAATACTTTGTGAAAATACCTCTTTTTGGATACAACCTGCAACTCATTTGAATCCCATTCCCCCCTCCAAGATACTTGATCTCATATTTTAATAATTTTAAGTTAGAGATTCTTAGTTTTCAAAACTGACGTGGACTCTAGAATCAAAAAAATGATAAATACAACCTTTTGAAAACAGAATGATTACAGGGGGAAATATGCCAGTAAGCTTTGAGTTATTTACAGACATCAAATGGATAATGTTCTTCAAAGAAAAACTACTGATAAATTCTGAATGGGAACCCTGAATTTCTCTTTTGCCGTGAAGCATCTTATACTTCCATAAAAGTTCTGATGCACACAAGCAAAAAGGTGAACTTACAAGATATGTATTTACATCTCTCTGCCAGGACTCTGCTTCGTTTCATTTCAAAATTCACTTCAGGCTTCCTTGTCAGAGGCATAAATTCTTTTGTAAATAATTACATTTTTCACCTCCACAAACAGGAATGCTGCCTCTCCTTTAAATTGTGTTTGTGTTTATGTACATGATAATATTTCCTTAAAATGAAATCTAATAAATGACCAAAAGCCCCTCTTGTTGTAACGATTAGTGGCTAGTCCAGCTCCTTGGGTTGAATGAAGCAAGGCTGAGGCAGGTGGATTGCTTGAGCTCAGGTGTTTGAGACCAGCCTGAGCAAGAGCAAGAGCGAGACCCCGATCTCTACTAAATCCTGGACTTGTTTCAGGATGCATTTAGCAAAACCACGTTGAAATTCCCAAAAGTTAACAGTTAACTTCAGTAGAATTTATTCCTATGGACTCGTCTTATTCCCAGGACACAGCATGGTCTGTAAGGCCCACGAAGGGGTTGCTCAAGGCAAGTCAAGGCCAGATGGGTAATTTCACAACATACTTCTGCACCCTCCTCTTGGCTGAATTTGTTTCTTGTAAACGGAAATGAATCCAGTTTTTCTCCTTCCCAAGACACTGTGCTTTCCCTGGAATTCCAGAAACGTACTGGAAATGTTCTTAAATAACATTTGCTATTAAAAAACTGCTCCAATCTAAGAATAAGGGAAATGAGGCAGAGTGCAGAGATACATGTGTAGCAAGTCTGTTCAGTAAAAAAAAAAAAAAAAAATTAAAACACTTGGGGAGGCTGAGGCAGATGGATTGCTTGAGCTCAGGAGTTTGAGATCAGCCTGAGCAAGAGCGAGACCCCCTCTCTACTAAAAATAGAGAAACTAGCCAGATGTCGTGGCGGGCACCTGTAGTCCCAGCTACTTAGAAAACTGAGGCAGGAGGATGGCTTAAGCCCAAGAGTTTGAGGTTGCTGTGAGCTATGATGCCACAGCACTCTACTCAGGGCACAGAGTGAGTCTCTATCTAAAAAAAAAGAAAGAAAAGAAAAAAGAAATTAAAAATGACACTGTAGTAATGTCCCAGTCTCTCAAACATATGTTTATGGACACAGGGAAAAAACAGAGTGCTACAGAGCAAAGTGTTAATATTAACACAGGCTATTGCTGATTTAAAAATTGTGGGAAATTCCTCTCTTTTCTTTTTTACAGATAGTGCTTTTAAGGTATTTATTAGTAAAAATGTATTATCTTTTAATTATGTTTCATTAATGTTGAAAAAGTATCTCTTCGTATTTGGTCAATTAGCCTGGAAACCTGAAGATAAGCCCTCCAGACAGGCGTGAGCCTCTCTCCACTTTCTGTATTTTTGCTCGGCTCTTGATTCCCAGACGCCTTATTTTGCACAGCAGGGTAGTCCCCATATGAAGCCCCACTGTCACCAGGTGCTCTGAATAATAGGAGATGAGTGACCCACCTTCATGCTTTGGTTTTAGGAACCTATTTATGGGTTTTTATCCTTCCTCCCAAAGGGGCGAGTGTGACAACCATCGACTGACCCCCAAATACGTGACATTTTGGCATCTAAATACGATTTCTTCTTGTTGAATGGATGCTGCTGTCGTCCCTTCCTTACAAGGGTTACTGCTCAGAGGCCATCTGTTTCTCTGAGAGCGACTCTGCTGACCTCACGTCTGAGGGGACACCCAGGTTTCACACAGCTGTCCTCAGTGTGCCCTGTATGTCTGCTCACCTGTCGCGGCCTTACCTTCCGTAGGTCCCAGTGGGAGGTTTACAGCAACAGAAAAGTCAGGATTGGGGGACGCTAAACTATAAGCTGGAAATTTAAATATACATACGTGCTTATACTTATAAACACACTTTATTTATCTTTTTGTCGTTGTTGAGACCGAGTCTCATTTTGTCACCCTTGGTGGGGTGTTGTGGTGTCACAGCTACCTCAAACTCTTGACCTCAAGTGATCCTCTTGCCTCAGCCTCCCAAGTAACTGGGAATAAATGCCCCCACCACGAAACCTGACTATTTTTACAGATGGGGGGGTCTCACTCTTGCTCAGGCTGGTCTTGAACTCCTGAGTTCATGGAATCTACCTGCCTCAGCCTCCCAGAGTGCCGGTATTATAAGCGTGAGCCACCGCACCCAGCCATAAACACACTTTTTAAAAAATATGTTTTTCCCCCATAAGTTTCAGATGTGTAACTTTTAAGCCTTGGTTGATTTGAGCTTTGTGAAAATCGGTTCCCCTCTGCCTAGAAAAATCCTGAAATGGTGTAATAATATTTGCTTTTTACGGAGACGGTTCTCATTAAAGACAGTTCTTGGGTGGCTTATTTAAACCATACAGTGTTAAAGAGGCTTGAAAGAACCCGCTGAAGCCGCTTTAAGAAGAGACAGATTTGGAACACGACTACCTCCTCCACAGGAGACGGAGCAAGCTGACTGCACCAGACTCCAGGCGTGGAGCTGTCTTTTTGTGGCTGGTTGAGTTCCGTTCGTGGCCTTGGGAAGTGTGTATTTCCACGCTATCCCCGGATTTTTGCCTTGCATCAGAATCTGGACAGTACAAAATAAAAATCAGAGATGAGAATACAGGTTAGACCCTGGAGTTCCAGAAATCCTGCCAAACATTTTAAAGATATTTGCGTGGCGTTTGGACCTTAGAGTTGCTTTATATCATTGTTCCCAAAAATGTGTTTTATGTTGATTTAAAGTTTTCCCATTAAAAAAAAAATAGGCCTTCTCTTCCCAGTTCTTCCCAGAGTCAGGAAAAGCTGGCTTGAGAGGAAGAAAAAAAGTCCTTATTTAAATAAATAATAAAGTTTTCCCATGACACTTTAAAATATATACCTTCAGATTATCAAAACTGTGGTTTAGACAGATGCTAAAGAACTGAGGACATTTGTCCTAAGCCCACAACACACGCACATTCCTGTATGTGTGTGTTATGGTGAAGGAAGGAAGGTTATATGGTTAGGTCTCAACCCTGACTTACACCTGAAAACCTAGCATCCTGCACACGCTGTGGTGTCCCACAGGTAATAGCTGAGAGATTTCCACGTATACATTTTTCTGATTTACCCTGAGTCACAACTTACAAGCTCTCTCCTGTGGTGGGAGGGCGGCAATAGAACTTGGGAATGTGAGAGGCACCCCCAGAAACCACAGAACACCACACTTCGAGTTGCCTTTCATCAAGTCTAGAATCCAAATGGGTTTCCAGTAGAATTTCCAAAGAGGATTTGCTCAGTGTGTTGGTCAACTGTGCCCGAGGATGAGCAGGGAAGTAAAAGAGAAATACGACCAGAATCAGGGAGATGTGATATACGTACTGGAATGGAGTCGACCTCAAAAAAGGGAAGGACTCAGGATAAATCAGCTCCTATGAAGTCTGACCACTAAAAGATCCACCATTTGTCAGGTACTTCTCTGGTACCCTGCTGGGCTTTTTTTTACGAATGTCTCAAGTATTCTTCTAATAACTCTATGATATAGCTGCCTATTTTTTCATTTAAAAAAAAAAAAACTGAGTGAGGACTTGTGCAAAATCACATATGTGACTAGGGAATGAGCTTAATTAAGGCCTCCAGCAAAAATGTGCCCGAGCCATGTGGTCTATCATCTTATTTTTGATGTGAAAGCATTTTATTTCGCTCCTTCCTTAATGCCTTCTGTGCTTAACGACTCTTCTTTCTTTTCTTCTTTCAAGCTCAAAGCATGAGTATAAATAACTGGTTCTCTCCCACCCATGAGTCTTGTGGAAACATGCTTTACCACCAGAACTGGGCACTCATGCCCAGTAGGCAAAGACGACTGCCTGTTAAAAATAGGAACCCCTGGCTCTATCTCCGTGTGGTAAGATCCCGCCTCAATTAAAGTTGGTGGCTGGAAGCTCTTCAGGGGCTTCCATTACACCAGACCACACTTCAGGATGTTACAACGTGGTCCCCACTTTGCTATTGGCTGAAATGTCACCAGGAATGGCTAACTTTTCAGATTCCCTGGTATGGACGTTACTTCATAGTGCAGCAAAACAAATCTCAGTGCCTCCCAGAAACAACTGACATGTCCAGAGATAGTTCTGTGTTCAAGTCACCGCCATCCAAAATACAATTAATACAAAACACAACAGGTTAACCCCATTCGATAAAAATATTTTTAAAATCAAAGTCCCAGGAGTCTTCTGCTTTGGAGGATCTTCCTAGTCTGTTTCTCCTAGTTTGATCACCGCAGCCCCATGGCTATCCTTGGGGTCATGCATTCAGTGCACCATAGCGTGCCACATATTTTGAATCAATGCTGTGCTTTCCTTATTTGGCATTTCTGCAGTGTTGGTGTGACTGTTAATGTTCTTAGGTGACAGTAAGTAAATACAGAAACAGAGTCCTCTTCATGAACAAACTAGAATTGCAAGAGAAGTTATACACACATTAGATCATCCTGATATTGGCTGACAACTCAATTGCTCCTTCTATTAAAGCACTATTGCAAATGTAACACTTTTGGGTTGCTTTTTTTTTTTTTTTAATTTTTGAGACAGAGTCTCACTTTATCACTCTCTGTAGAGTGCTGTAACATCATGGCTCACAGCAACCTCAAACTCTCAGCCTCATGTGATCTTCTTGCCTCAGCCCTCCAAGTTGGGAGGACCACAAGCACCTGCCACAATGTCAGGCTATTTTAAAAGATGGAATCTCACTCCTGCTCAGGCAGGTCTTAAACTTCTACACTCAGGCAATACGCTTGCCTTGGCCTCCCAGAGTGCTAAGATTATAGGTGTGTGCCACCGGGCACAGCCAGGCTGCTATTTTTTTTAATGAAACAAAAATGCAGAAACCTGATATGGAAAGCAATAATGTGTTGGAACTTATTACATGTATGGCAATGCAATATGGATTTAGTGGGTGCACCATAAGAGGTATGGTGAGCTAAGGCCCATAGGCAGGGTGATAACACAGAGCTAAGGCCCACAGGCAGGGTGATACTATAACACAGAGGGTCACACTACACATACCTGGAACCAAGGCAAATTTAAGTGTAAGAGCTACAGAGAATGGAAGTTACTATTATTTCCATATCCTAGCACCACCCCAGTCCTTCCACTCAAACTAGCTCCTAATTTCTCCTGCCACTGGGGAACAGATTCCCAAAGAAAATGCAAAGAACACCCAATGGAACATCAATTCTTGCCTTTTGAGCTTCTAAGACTTATGTTCTGGTGACGGCAGAGTGGTTTAACAGAGCTTCAACAGGTGACTCTAGAGCCTTAGCCATATGTGGTGTGTGGTTTCACTGCAAACCATTTACAAATGTTGCTGGGAACAGAAGGATGTGTTTAAGCGGGGGAAGACTATGGCGATAAAAGTGTCATCACTGTTAAACAAAAACAACTAAGATGTCAAGTTTCTCCCAGACCTCCACTCAAGCCAACTATAAAAAATTATTAGTGCTACCAACACGAAAATAACTAACACAACCTCCACTGTCAAAGTCGTTTCGGGATCTGTGTCTGTGTTCTCCTTTCCTCCCCCTGCTACTCAGGGTGCCCTGTCCCAGCTCCTGGCTAAGTCTGTGCCCCCCACAATGCACCCATCCCATCTCCCCTCATCTCACCTTCATTGCTGTAGCTGCCCACATGAGGCTATGAGCACTTACAAGGGTACCAGTGAATCTTTCTAAATGTAGAATATAAATGTCTTAACACAGTAACTAAGAAAATGACATGAAGGCTATGTTAACCAGTTTGATGAAAGTATTTCAAATTGTATATGAAAACACCACACTCTACCCTATGATTGCATTAATGTATAGCTATGATTTAATAAAAAAAAAATGGGAAGGCAGAACAGCACTTTTAATTTGAATTTGAACTTGAATTTGAAATAACCGAGTGTGGCTAATGGCTACCATCCTGGAGGCATAGCTAGAGGTCAAACCCAACCTCTGATCTCCACTTTCGCACATTCAACCACCTAATCAGTATTTCTCTTTGAATATTTAAAAGGTATATCATTGTCCAACACTGAACTTGTCACTTTCCTCCCTGTCCACCGTTCATTCTTCAGTTTTCTCCATTTTGTGGGGACCACTCCTTCTAATTGTTTAGGCCAAAATAACACCTTGGGGCCAGGCTGGCCTCCCCTCACACTCACTTTGATCAATCAGGAATGCTGTTGTAACGTCCTTCCTCTCAACATCGCCTGGATCTTAGCATCTCTAAGCCACCATCATCTCTTTGGTGACTTCCATCATCAAGGTACCAAGAAAAGCATTCTAGGGAAGGAGAGAAGTCACACCTCTCCAGCACAGAAAACGAGACACACACACATAGAAAAATAAGACGGCGACAGTTACTTAAGTTAAAAGCATGTGCTCTAGGAACTGTCATGGGAAAGCAAATGCTTTTATGATAGGGGTGGGGCAGAGGGGATTACATGGCCATCTGAAGAATTTTTGTAGCTATTATTTAATAATATATCCTGATGATAATCTCAGCCAAGAAGCCACAAAACACCAAAAAGAGTTCTTTTCCTGAAGATTTCTATTCCCCTCCCTGAACCTCACCTCCAGAAAGGGATAAACCCGTCATTGTGCTCCCCACTTCCCCTTCCCTATACTTGAACTGAAAATATGAAAAGATCTTCAGCAAAGTACAAATCTTGAGCTAAAAGCGAGGACAGCGCTGATTGGAAGGGTTCATGGGAGCACAGCAACTAATCCATTTCATATTATCAAGGTCAGGAGAAATGTATGTATCTGGCCAAAGTGAGAAGAGAAATCTCTCGCACGATTTACCGCAAATGTTCACAGGAACAGGCAGCTTTCCATTGTTAACTCACAAAGTACATAGTAGCTGCTTGCGTGTTTGTTACCATTACAGTTTCATAGCCGGTAGCGTATAGCACACATTGTTTATATTTCATTTGTTGACTGCATTAATGAATTCAGTGAACGTAGCAGTGAATAAAGGCCTCTCAACTTTACAAAATAAATGACTCAGGACTTGTCTTTAATGTCAATGTAGCTATAAACCCACATGCAGGTTGCGTGTGTGATCACATAGGCTGAAAAGACCGTATTTGTATAAGCCAACAGAAAGCTGATGTAAGAATTTATTTTAACATCAGCTCATAAAGGCCTCTCAAAGGAAGTAAAAACTTAAACAAATAGGCACCAAGACTAAATATATAAAAGATGACTATGTGCCAATTATAGTATTTGCTTTTCAGCGATGACTAAGAAGATATCCTCTGCCTTTGTATTTTATCCTGTGTGGAGAACAGTGGCCAAGAATGAAGAGTACATCATAGCCGTCTTATCTGACGGGTGGATGACTGCAAACAGTTAATCCTTTGGAGACAGACTGTCCACCTGCCTAACAGAATCTCTGTAAGCTTCTCCTTCACTGCTGTTTGCAAAAGAACTGAATTTTGTTAAAGAAATCAATTCCACCTCCCCCCGCCCCCAAGAACTAGTGCATCATTTGTAAGGCCCAGTTCAAAAGGAAAATTCAAGGCCCCATGTTTAAAAATATTATCAATTTTGAGATGATGAGA